CCTCCACCTGTAGGGCCTCATCAAAAGACTCTGGTTTCCCCCTCATCAGTCAGCAATAGATAGTGTAATGAAGGTGAATACCTATCTGGTGACTTGATGGATCTGGATGATCTCCTTAACTCCTGTTCAGGTGTAACTTGCTCCACTTCAAATTCTTCAGTAGGAGTTGGTTGAGTATCTGCTTCGACATCTCTGGGGTTACTCTTCTCCAACTCAACCTCAACTCCCACTTGCTTTGTAATCTCTAAAACCTTCTACTCTCTGTCCTTGTACAGGACAGACTCATCAAATGTCACGTCAAAATGTCTCAGGATCTTTCTATTCTTTTCATCCCAAAACCTGTAACCAAACAAATCAGAACCATATCCTATGAAGTAACACTTCACAGCCTTGGCATCAAGCTTGTCTCTCTTTTCTGGATCAACATGAACATAAGCAATGCAACCAAAAGTCCTCAAGTGTGAGTACTTGAGTTATTTTCCTGTCCACACCTCCTTTGGAATCTTGAACCCTAAAGGAACTGATGGTCCCCTATTGATCAAGTATGCAGTTGTGCTCACAGCATCCGCCCAAATTGTTTTGGGAAGCCCACAGTGTATCCTCATACTCCTTGCACGCTCATTCAATGTTCTATTCATCCTCTCAGCAATTCTATTCTGCCTTGCCTTACCAGGGACTGTTCTCATCAATCTGATTCCCTCAGCTGCACAGAATGCCTTGAACTCTGATTTGTCATACTCTCCTCCATTGTCAGACCTTAGGCATTTGACTTTCAAACCGGTCTGATTCTCAACTTCAGCTTTCCACTTCTTGAAAGTTGCAAACACATCTGACTTATGCTTCAAGAAGTAAACCCATACTTTCCTGCTGAAATCATCAATGGAGGTAACATAGAATCTGGATCCTCCAAGTGATGATACTTGAGATGGTCCCCAAACATCTGTATGGACCATTTCCAACCGCACTTTCTTTGGCTCTCTAGGAGTCTTTGTGAAGCTTACTCTTTTCTGTTTGCCCATAACACAACTCTCGCAAATACTCATATCAACAGACTTCAGACCCTCTAATGCTCCTTTTGCAACCAGCATCTTCATTCCTTTAGTACTCATGTGTCCAAGTCTGTTATGCCACAGACATGAACCGGAAGCACCTTCAGCAACAGCGGCCATGTTTATACACCCTGCAGTGGTGTACAAGGTTCCAGATTTGGTGCCACGAGCTACTACCATAGCACCTTTCACGATCTTCCACGAACCTTTCCTAAACTCTGCTGCATATCCCGTGCTATCCAACTGACCAACAGAGATCAGATTTTTTTTGATCCCAGGAATATATCTGACATCCTCCAATGTCCATGGTTTCCCGAGGTGGTGTTTATGCAAACATCCCCCTTTCCTTCAATCTCTAAGGCTTTATTGTCATAAAGATATACTTTTCCAAAATTTCCTGATTTGAAGTTTTGGAACAACTCCTTGCTTGGAGACAAATGGAAAGATACACCAGAATCCAAAATCCATGAGTCAACAGGTTCACACAAGTGATAACGTATCAAGCTTGTGACCCCTAAATTCTCCCCTAACCAAAACTCTCAAAGCCTTTAAGACTATATTGTGAATGCTGATTAAGTTAGAAGGAACATGCCTCTATTTATAGAGTCTAAACCTTTTCCTACCAGAAAAAGGATTAGTCAATCCAAAACCTTTTCCTAAAAGGAAAACCTATTTATGGTAAGAAATTAAGGGCAAATAAAACCCAACAAATCTCCCCCTTGGCCTGAATTTCTGACAAAATAAATTTGTCCACCTTCTTCACTTAATCTTAAACAACTTGCTTCTCCTCTCCATAATCTCCTTTGCAAAATTTATGTCTCAACACAGAGAACCTCTCTGAAACAATTTCTCCAACAAAATCTTCATTACTGTCAAAAAGGTTGCGGCTAGAACTACACCCGCCAAGATGAACACATCCTTCTAACCTGGTTCAATCATCAATTATCGAACCATAAACCTGACTCCATAATTGAATCTGGCTCTGACACCACTTGTTAGGATAAAAAATAAGCAGGTGTAAATGTGGAAGCTAGCAAAGCAAACCTCGAAAGACCACGAGTAAGAAAACAACGAGAAATATACCAAAAGACACAAATATTTAACGTGGTTCGGTCAATCGACCTATGTCCACAAAGGAGATGAGCAATCCACTATAAATATGAGAGTACAAAATACAGAGGGAAACAACCTCAACCAATTCACTAGGAATACATGGGAGGTTCACACAAGTGATAACGTATCAAGTTTGTAACCCATAAATTCCCCCTAACCAAAACTCTCAAAGTCTTTAAGACTACATTGTGAATGTTGATTAAGTTAGAAGGAACATGCCTCTATTTATAGAGTCCTAAACCTTTTCCTACCAGAAAAAGGATTACTCTATCCAAAATCTTTTCCTAAAAGGAAAACCAATTTATGGTAAGAAATTAAGGGCAAATAAAACCCAACAGGTACTTCCTTTTTCTTTCTAGGATTAGGATTTTTTTTGTTCCAACTTTTAAGCCTAAAGATTCGCAATTCTTGATCAACATTTGTACCATCTTCATCTGGAATAACATTTATATTAGGAAGATCTATAGCAGCCCCATGGAGAACTAAATCAACTTTTTTCACATCTAAAACAACCACATTCTCCATAGTTTTATTAGTATTTTTATCCACATATTCATCAACACGAGCTTGACCATACTAAAATACTCGTTGGATTCGGCAATTCCTCTGACTCATCAATTTTATGGACCACATATGTATGAAGATCATCACCATCTATTAAGTCTTTCACAAACTCTAACCATTGAATATTAGAAGTAACTTGAACAAATTCATTGTTATTTTTATTTTGATAGTAAAATTCCCTCACATTTGCTCATCCATGATTTTTACTGTGCGAAAGAAATTCGACAAGACTAAAATGATTTTTATCAAAGGAAATGACAAATGTATCTACTCCCCCTTTGTAAGTAGGGTCAGGGTCTCCGACCACATTAACCCTATGATAAAAGCATGTCAAAATATAGTTGTCTATATTTTAAAAAGATGACCCCCAAAACAAGGAAATACCCAATAAGTCTCTTACTTTTTTAGTGAAATTACGGAACTACTACATGATAATAAAGAAAGTGAAAATAACAAAGAAAATACACCACCTTTAAGAATAAAACATATAAACACAAGAAAATTTTGTTCGAACCTTCAATTTCTCTAATGTCGTATAGCCTGACAAAATGATAATCTTCAATACTTGATTTCAACCTTAAACCTAAAAATGGTGGCATAATTTACAATAATAGTTAGTATTAATTAAGAATTGAATGAAAAATAAGATAAATTTCAAAGAGTTACAAGAGAAATCTACCTATGATTTTGTTTCGGTGAATTCAAAGAAAAGAGAAAAATAGGAGTTGAAAGATCAATTAAACTCTAAATTTGGAGTCAGTATGACCTAGAAAGGTTTTCAGAGTTAGCATGATATAACTGATTAATTAATTCATGTGGACAAGATTGTGTCACACACGCTTCTAGTCACCAGGAAATTGTGCAGAAAGTGTAAAAATGACATAATGAGACATGACATGAAGTGTCTAAAATGAATAAAGTAAATTGAAGTATCGAATAAAAGTTAACATCAATTTTAAAGGACCACCTATGAATTTTGTCTAAAAGTGAATTTAGTACTATTATTTAAGTTAACAATACTAATAAAAAAGGGAAAAGAGTCAAAAAATACCCTCCAAATTTGATTTATTGTCTAAATTTACCCTCGTTGTTAAAATGAAGTTATTTTTACCCCTCTCATTACTAATTGCACAAAATTTACCCCTCATTAGACGGATTGACCCAAATTGACCCGAATTTTTTTTTAAAAAATCTTATTCCTTATTTTTTACCCAATAACCCGATCCATTCTCCCAAATCTCCTCTACTTGTTTACCATTCTCCCAAATTTCCTTCATTCTCTCCCTCAGAAGCTAAGTCAAAGAACAAATTGTTGAGTTGAAGAAAAGACAACCTAGTTTCTCCTTCACAATTTGTATTAATCGTTTTTAAGGTATCAAATTGAACAAATCTTCTTCAAGAATTGTCTTTCTATAACACTTAATTGTTGATTTACGAGTTATTATACTCGAGCACACTAATTTTGGCAGAGGAATTGATGAACTTAACTTGTTTATGTAGGGAATAACACTCCTAACGTTATCTGCTTCCGCGAAAAGAATAAGACCCTGTAATAATGGTACTTGCAACCCAACATCATTACAGAAAGCAACATTCTTTGTTTCGATCTACTTGATTGCCTTTGGAACTGGTGGTATCAAACCTTGTGTCTCTTTCTTTGGGGCAGATCAATTTGTGCTGCAATTCTGGAGACCATTAGGCTTGACATGGTAAGGAAGAACAACTACTATGACCTCAAATACGTTCCTATGAGCATCTTATGACAATTGTTCCTCAATACTTCTTTATTATCCCACTCTGAGTAATTGAAGAAAATCTCACCCGCATATGAATAAACAACAAATAACATATTAAAGGACAATAGTGAAATTATAAAACCTCAATCAAGGTAATTTCTTGCAAGTTAAAAATTCTATAGGCGCTAGTGTAATACTTAGAATCATACGAGATAGAGAGAGTGAAGGAAATTTGGGAGAATCGGCAAATTGGTAGAGGAAATATGGGATGGGTCGGATTATTTAAATGGAGTCGGGTTATTGAATTAAAATAAGGAATAAGGTTTTTCTTTTTAAATTGTGGTCAATCTATTTAATAAAGGATAAATTTGATAAAATTAGTAATGAGAGAGGTATAATTAACTTCATTTTTAGTTAATTTTAACTGCGAAAGTAACTTTAAACAATAAATCAAAATTGGAGCTATTTTTTAACTTTTTCCCAACAAAAAAACAACCATCCAAACATTCGCAAAGGTAGCATAATGCTTCACGGAACTGAATAATTCGGTCTGAATTTCTATTGGCGGGCGAGGGCGCTATCCTCCACAAAGAAGCCCGCCCACACTGCAAGTCAGCAACTGTGACGCTTTTGAATTGGTAAGAATGTCAGTTATTGCTCTGTTCACGGCGGCTACCAAGCTCGCCGGTGTCTTAGTAACTATCACCGTTGCGGCCAATGCGTTTTCCTTCTCCGTCTACCGGAAAAAGAACCTCAAGCGTTTTCGCTCTCCCATAGACGACTCCGCCGACGTTCTTGCTCACTTCAATCTCAATCCGTCTGGTAACACAACTACTTTTAGCTTTTAAGCCTAATTCAAACTTTATTGCAATTAGCTTACTAGCTAACACATACGTCTATTTCATTTTATACCTAAGTATGTAATTGAACATGGAGTTTACAGCACGATGAAGTAAGATGTTAGGGAAGTGATTTGGGTGTATAACTTAGTTCAGTTTAAAGTTTGAGTAGTTATATGAAAATGATATTATTAATGTAATGGGGTTAAGGCTTTTTAGAACGGTAAAGTAGAAAGAGTTCCCTATGTTAAAATGGAAAAAGTACGTTATTCCATTTTTGGATGGTACTTGATGTAAAATGACCCTCATCAGTCATCAGTTACTGAACATGGACTTCTGTTGGTCTATCAATTTTGAAGCATGACTTCAGTTTAGCTTTTGTGTGCTTAAAGGTTAGATAGGCTGGTGGTGTGGCCTTTTCCCTAAAAAAAGAATAGTTGGATGCGCCTTACCTGTATATCCACCTTCCAAACTCTTGATTGCTGGAAGTTCTTCATTTTGCATCGAATCCCTATAAGCTGATCAGGATATAGTTTCTTCCAGCTTTTATTTGGGGGCATCTTTTGTAACTTGTAAATATGATTTCCAGCAGTATCTTTGTGCTGCTGATAGTATTACTGTTATCTACTTTTTAAAAAGAAGAGAATGAACTCACTCCGCATTGGCTCCACCATTTCCTAAGATTAAGACAGTATTTTGTGTGTTGTAACTAACCCAACATTGACCCGAAAACAGTAGCTGAGGAGAACACAAAAATCAATGGTTTCCCGATAGAACCCTGCAGGGATGTAACCTGTTTGGATTGAGTTGTTTAAGTGTTTTTAAGCTAAAATAACTTTTAAGCACTTTTGTAGTGTTTGGGTTAGATAAAAAAGTGTGTTAAAGCCAAAATAACAAAAAAGTCAGTATCTTAAGTTAGAATTTGTAACTTATGGCTTTTGGCATATAAGCCCATCCAAACAGGCTCTATGTTATCATACAATTTAATGCTGTATCTCTTTTTCCATTATTCGACACTTTCACCATTTATATGCATGGTCCATGCCTTCACATAGCTGCATAGGACTGTCCACAAAAATTTAACATAGTAATTGAATATCTGTATATGTGTGAGTATGTGGTTTGACCCATTTGTGATACTCTCTAGAAGGGGAGAAAGGATTCTTTTTTGGATTGGCTACAGCACCTGCTCATGTGGAAGACAGGCTTGATGATGCTTGGCTCCAATTTGCCAAAAATACAGAATCACATGAAATCCAGCAGCCTCAAACAGCAGATGCTATTATGGGCTCCGCTACAGGTGATGGTGGATCTCAGCAAGCACTGTTACCTCAGAGAGAAGCTACCAAGACCATAAAGAGGAAAAAGTCCCTTAAGATAGCAATTGAGGCACAAATAAGAGGATTTGAGAAGTACATAGAAGTGGAAGAGCTAACTCCAACTGAGCAATGTCCTCATAATGTTGCTGCCTGGCATAACGTCCCACACCCGTAAGTTTTATGGATCTTGTTTAGCATTTTGATTGTAGTCTCAGAAATTATGGTGCATAACACGCTGAATTATAATTACACTAAACTTGTAAGCTTTGTTCTTTGAACCTGTGAACCATAGATAACCTGATACTAAACATTAACAAACTCATTGCACTCTATTTGCTTTGACTCGGTTAACGTTTGGGATTGTGTTAGGGAGGAAAGGCTAAGGTTTTGGTCTGATCCTGACATTGAATTGAAATTAGCTAAAAATACTGGAGTGCAAGTCTTTCGAATGGGGGTAGATTGGTCAAGGATCATGCCTGAAGAGCCACTCGGTGGACTGAAAGAAACTGTAAGAAATTACAATGAAATTCATTGTCTACTTGTATATTATTATTATTATATCCTGTATGTAACCTTTATTTCAAATCATGATGACACCTTGATTTCCACAACTCTGTAAAACCTACTTCGATCATTAACATCATCCTGTTTGAGAGATATCCCAAGGGAAATGGATTTGAGTACAACACCTGTGCTAAGCATCCCTAATTTCAGCTAATTTGTTTATGTCAAAGAGTTGTAATATTTGTTTCAATTGTCCCAACTTTCTTACCTACCTTTACTTTTCAATTTGCTTTTTCAAACTAATCTCTACCTAAAGAAACCATATCTACTGCATGGTGTAAAATGACACCAGAATTTATGTGGATATACCTTTTCAAGTTTCAACAAAACCATTTTATCTTTTTCGCTTCTTAGAAAACCTAGAGTGAGAATAGCCTTCACATGTTCCCCATTTATCCTAACAGCTTGTTTGGATGGTTGTTACCCATTGTATTGTATTGTATCATTATTTTAAATGCAATGTTTATTTTGATTGTTACTTAAATTTATTATTATGTTGTTAAATATGTTGCTATGTAACGATAAAAAGACGCATTTTATGTCACTAACAAATAATGTGGTGGAATAGCTACGTTATTTCTCTTTCTCACTGTACTCTTGTTATTTCATAATCACATTTATTTTTCTTAACCCTATTATTTTACTTAGCTTCAGTCTTTTACCTATTAGTCATCTCCACCTTAGATTTTTGGTTTGTTTATTGCTCTCCCTTTTATGATCATCCATCATTTTTTCCTTTATGCAAAAACATTTTTTTTGCTGATTTGGTTTACCATTTAAGTTTTATTATTATTTTCATTGGGAGTTGCATGAATTTAATAGCTTAAAATATTTACAAGGCATAATTTGCGATAAATTAGGAAATGAAAGCAGTCTTAAATTATTTTTAGTATTTGTTGATAAATCTAACATTACAACAATTAAGGGTATTTTGGTAAATTTATTGTTTATTATACTATATGGTACACAGTCAATCCTACTTTGCAGTTTGCACCCTCTTTTTCTGAACATGTATATATTTCTGAGAGTTCACCAATTCCGTCTTTTGGGATTTTGTCTGTCTAACTCCTTCATTTCCCCCCACAACTCTATCTCCTATAGCTCTACCCTTTACTACTCCACCATTCTTTACTTATAATTATCATCTGGCCCCTTCATTGGGTCCAAACGATTCATGACTGACATTCAATTCCTTGTTGGTTGCTAATTGTCTCCACGAAGTCCTCCTACTTCCACCTTGTAAAGGCTTCCTTCTACTTGTAATCTATTATCAGTTGTCGATAGTATACACAATGGACAGTGAATATTGGGCCTGATGGATAGATTGTTTAGCTAAAGGAATGATTGGGTGCCAAAGGTTACTACACATATTTTTAGACTTGACTATGAAAATATTTTCTCTCGCGTGGATTGCTTCAACCATTTTTTTTTTGTCTATGGTTGCTGTTCGTCATTGGTCATTTCACTAGTTGGACATTAAAATGACTTCTTTTTTTTCAATTAAAATGTAAAAAATACTGTCTTTCTTCATGAGGATCAATAAGATAAAAAGTTTATATGGAGCATCCATTGATGTTATTCAAGGGGAGTCTAGTAATACTGTATGTAGGCTATGATGATCACTTCACGTTCTAATCTAATATCATTGCCCTCCATATTTGTGCCTGTATTTAGTGGTGTATGTTGATGATATTGTCATCATAGATAATGATGAAAAAGGAACTTCCAAATTGCACCATGACCTTTTTCAACACGTTTTAAGCAATTACCTTGGGCGATTGAGGTAATACTTGGATGTTGAGGTTACTAAATCATCATTATGAATTTTCATTGCACAGAGGAACTATGCTCTTGATATTCTTGAGGAAACAAGAATAATGGACTTTAAGAGTATTGATACTCCAATAGGTTCCAAGATTGAGCTTTTACTAGGTCTATGTTGAAATAGAACCTTAATTTATTACTTATAATTAGATTTTAGAATGCTAGTCAAGTGAGCCTCTTGGTGATCTTGTAAGATACAGGAGGTTGGTGAGAGTGAAATTACCTTACTGTGACTATTCTATTGAAGTAAAGCCTTAGAATCTACTATCTTCCTAAGACCATATGTCTTTCATAGGATAATACTATCTAGAATTCTAAACTCTAAAGTCTTGAGTACTCTATGATAAGTACTTCCCATATAATATGTTTCAAGAAGGGTTCATATTCCAGAAGCGTTTTAAAGTGCTCTTTATGATAATTATGCTAATGATGAGATGATGAATCTTTTGATTTCCTTAAATACTTACATGATGCTTTTGAATGGACCTTACTCTCGCAATGATTTACTAAATGATGCTAAAAGTATAAAAAGATAAAGGGCTAATGAGCCTATGATGATTTACGAAATGGCCAAATGTGCCATGTTTTAAGAGAAGGGCCAAATGTGCCAACAATATGAGGTATGTTGATACCATAATTTTGTAATGAGACTATAAGAATGAAGTCTTATTGCAACCTAATGAGACGATACGGATAAAGTCCTATCACAATCTAATGAGATGATAAGAATGAATTCCTATTGCAACCTAATGAGATGATAAAAATAAATTCCTATTGCGACCTAGAGAGATGACAAGGAAAAAGTTCTATCACAACCTAATTAAACGATAAGGATAAAGTCCTATCGCAACCTAATGAGACAAGAAGGACAAAGTCCTATCACAACCTAATGAGATGACACGGATAAAGTCCTATCACAATTTTTTTTTGAAATCAGTAACTTTGTATCATATCAAGGATAAAAACAGTCTTACAGTACTTGGGTAGTACTGAAACCATATTTAAAATAGAGCTCTAGTGTCTTTCCTCTCTCGCTATAAAGAATCTAGAACATCTATGATAGACACAGTATCATTAGAGTAAATCTGATTACACCAAAAACATGACAGTAAGATAATTTCAACTTGATCTTCTGCACATCATTCTGTTAGCTCTCAAAACATCTGTAATTCCTCTCCTTCCGAATTCTCCATCTTCTCCTATCCTTAGCATGTGAACATATCAACCCCCCCCCCCCTAGCTACTACAAGGTTCTGTTATCTTTCCTGGCATTGACCATGTTATACCCTTAAAGGTTTAGGATGATTCTCCACAAATGACCTGTGTATGGACAATGCAGAAATAGATGGTTGACTGTCTCAGCTGTTTCCTGTTTCTTTACACATGCATCATGTTGAGCACAGTGTCATACCTCTGCTCATCAAGTTGTCCACTGTTAAAGTGGCTTCCTTTGCTAGTAACCTTAGTTGCACGGACTCTTCACTTTTGATGCTGCACCTGTCAGATTCTTCAAAAATACACTACTTTTGGCTGATCCGACACGCACCCTTTGACATTTATGAAGAGTCTGAGCAACATAGCTAGTAACCATACAAAAATAAATACCTTGTGGGGAACTTTTATCTTCCAAATCTGCTTCCATGGCAATTTGCTGTCTGTTGGTTGGACTGGTTCATACTTTTATAGGCAAATTGACCTTAAAAATGCCTTTGGAGTTGCCCTATACCATATATGATCTTCACCAACTTGAACCCCAGAACCGATCAAGTTTGCTGAGGAAATCAGCCACTCTTTGAGCCTCCCAATCATTGACACGTCTTCTAAAATTCAAGCTCCTCCCCTCGGATGTCCACATATCAGCTATATTTTTCTGTTGAGATGGTAATGATAAAGTCCAATTGCAATCTAATGAGATGATAAGGATAAAATTCTATCGCAACCTAATGGGATGATAAGGATAAAGTTCCATCACAACCTAATAAGATGATAAGGATAAAATCCTGTCACAACCTAATAAGATAATGAGGATAAAGTCCTATCGCAACCTAAGAAGACGGTATCTCATCAATGAGGGTATGATGTTTCCTAGCTTGTTCAGGCTATCAACATATTATGTTTTCATGTTCCTTTTGTATGAGCTACATTATGTATCTTATTATTCAGTATGCCTAATCATACTCGTCCTTTTCCATATGTATTCACATCCCTTTTGTCGAGGGCACTACACTCACACTGTAGACTCTGTAGGTACAAACATTCATGGTGACATGCCGCATTGATAGGCATTCCTGTTAAACTTTCAGTTATAGTTGGTGAGCGCCACTACCGTTTGGGCCTTATCATGTTTCATGTTAGGTGTATAGATTTTTTAGGGTATTCCAGGGCCTTGTCCCGACATTTTTTCAGTTTATGTCATGTAGCAGAAGCTTCATAGACTAGTACGTTCAGGTTATATGTATTTTGACTTAAGTCTCCGGCTTTTCCTGTGAGGCCTACTGATTTAGTATTTTTGTACTAATGACTTCTATATGTTTAAATGAAGTATTTTTTATGTTTTTTTTTTTGGAGACAGTAACAACTTGTATTCTGTTTCAAAACAAAAACCAGAACCTGCCACAATAAGTTACAGATTCCTAATTACAATTGTGGAGAGTACCAGGAAGATCTTTAATCCTATACAAAATTTACAAGGAACCTAAAACATTTTTAATTGATTCTAGATCTACCATGTACTCCTGTTTACACCAAAAAAGAAACAAAACTAAGCAGTTCATCTTAATCTTCTGGATGTAATTGCTCCTGTTTTGCAAGCATCTGAGATTTCTTTCTTTCCACACGGACCATGGACCAACAGATGCAAGCTGGAATAATTTTCCATCTTTCTTTATGCCCGGAAATGCTTGCATAACTACTCCATAACTTCAGGGTCTGCGTAACTTTCCTAGGCATAACCTATTTCATGTCTTTCTGATTGATAAAGACATTCCACAAAATGTTGGTTATTCTACAGTACAGGAAGAGATGGTTGACAGTCTCTACTTCTTCTTCAGCACATAGAAGGCACCTAGGACTTAGTTGAATATTTCTTTTCATGAGATTTTCCTGGATCTAAACTGCCTGTTTAGCAAGGAGCCAAGTAAAACAAGACACCTTGTAGGGGATTTTAGTTTTCCATATCAACTTCCATGGCCATCCATTCCCCTGACTGTTACAAGGATTAATTTTTTTGTACGCTCTTCTAACACTGAAATTGTCCCGGTTGTGATCCTGCCATTCCAAACTATCTTGTGCATTAATAGTTCCTTTGAACTGCCCTAAAACCTTGTAAAACTCCACCAACCTTTGGATCTCCCAGTCATTTAGAGGTCTTCTAAAGCTCAGATTCCACCTTGGTTTGACCACATCTCTGCTACAGTGGCTCTTTGCTGCTGGTTTTTTTTAATGTTAGTTGAGGTCATTATTTCATATCGATTGCATATATGCCTTGAATATGTTCAAGTAGAGTTGGTTTGCTCGGTCAAGTTATGGTATCAAAGTTAAAGGCTTACCCAAATTTGGGGCTGGACATTCATATTGCACATACAAATTGATTGTCATTTCGTCAGGGAAAAAATACACTCAGGAGACATTGTCACAAAGTTTGTGAAGTTAATTGATTAACTCACATATATATTCACCAAGGCCCTTGCTGGTCCTATAACAAGTTATAGATGTAGCAAACTTGGTACATGTAATTTGTGGTCACCAGCTCATGGAGGAGTGTCATCTTATGATACTAGGATCTTGTATATATAGTGTAGGATGAATTGACTTGATTTACTTCCAGCTTGATGGGGAGCGTTAGAATCTTATGAATATTACTAGGATCTTGTAAAAATTGCATAAGATCCATTGACTTGATTTACCTCCTGCAATTATGTAATTTTCCTTTCTTAGAACATGTAAATTTCACTAGAACAATGACAATAAATAAAAAAGAAAAGATGCAGATACACTATTCAAATTTTAAACTCCAATAGCTGGAGGGAATAATCAGACAATTTTTCTCTCAACTTCTCTTCCCTGTTTCAATTCTCGTCAAAGTAACATGTTGAATATGCTTCAATACTCCGATGGTGCATTAAGTTACTTGACGTATTCTGTAGGTCAATTTTGCGGCATTGGAGCGATATAAATGGATCATTAATAGAGTCCGATCATATGGGATGAAGGTCATGTTGACATTGTTTCATCACTCTCTACCACCGTGGGCAGGAGAATACGGAGGATGGAAACTGGAGAAGACAGTTGACTACTTCATGGAATTTACCAGGTTTGGCTACTGTAAACTTTAGATCTCCATAGTCGGGTTTATACGTATCAGATGATTATCCCAGCAGCGTAGCTTCAATTATAGATACTTGATACTTTTCCTTTACTTCTATTCCCTTTATCTGCCAATCCACTTTCTTTATATATGATCGTTTAGTAGCAATTTTGAGCAAATATATGTTAACCACTTTGTCAAGCAGCACAATTTTATGTATTTCACCTTTTATCACTGTAATATACTTGCAAGTGCTACTCTCCCATGAACAAATGGATATGTTTTCGTACAGGCTTATTGTTGACTCTGTTGCAGATATAGTGGATTATTGGGTTACCTTTAACGAGCCTCATGTCTTTTGTATGCTCACTTACTGTGCTGGTGCCTGGCCTGGTGGTAATCCTGATATGCTGGAGGTTGCTACTTCTGCTTTACCTACAGGTGTCTTCAATCAGACCATGAACTGGATAGCAATTGCGCATACAAAGGCATATGATTATATTCATGAAAAGAGGTTTCTAGCTATTCCTTGTACCTTTTTCTTTTCTTTCCATGGTACAATGAAGATTTTCATTTCTTTATCATGTTTGAAGGCATTTTGAAGACCGCAAGTTTGTTATTTGATTAATTTTCTTCCTACTGCTTTCTAGTTTGTTGCTACTATTACTATTTTCTCTTCCAGAGACGAATTATTGTGAAATTGGACTGATAAAAGAAAAAGAGATTTTTTGTTAGATTGGAAAGAGGTCATGAGACGTGTACTACACTACTATATTAAAGAACTCCATATACTAGTTATGAGCTATCGCTCATGCCTTGGTGTAGTAGGGCCTAGGAAAACTAAGTCAATATAATTTGCAGGCGAGTGTGGAGGCGGAATCCATAATGTCTTGGTTAAGGACATGCTAGCGAGTATTTGACAATATGAATTTAAGCCATCTAATGTTAAAAACTGACATAGCTACACTGTCCGAATGGCAGTTTAGGACAGAAACCATACTCCCCATATGATGCTAACTATTACAAACAACAGACCTAGTGCAATCCCACAAAGGCACAAGCTAACTGTTATCATGGAAGAAAAAAAAAACTGTTATCATGGCCAATAATTTCAACAATAGTAAAAGAGCCAGCTAACCGCTCATTAATAGAAAGTAAATACCAGCACCCAAGGATGTGGCCTACTGGTCAATGAAGTGAGTTGAAAACCATAAGGTCTCAGGTTCAAATCCTAGGAGAGACAAAAAAATACTAGGTAATTTCTTCCTATCTGATCTAGCCTTTGTGGATATAGTAACCTGGCATTTGTCATTGGTGGGAGGTGGAAGGTACTCTGTGGATTTAGTCAAGGTGCAAGAAAACTGGCCTGTACAGTATGTTTATAAAAGAACCAAAGTATAGACCTAGCACCCAAGAGTGTGGCCTAGTAATCAATGAAGTGGGTTGGGAACCATGAGTTCTCAGGTTCAAATCCTAGCGGAGTTAGAAACATTAGGTGATTTCTTCTCATTTGTCCAAGCCTTGGTGAACAGAGTTGCCCAGTATGGTAAGAGGTAGCAGGTACCCCATGTGACCAATCGAGGTGTGCGCAAGATGGCACATACAACATGACTAAAATAAAAAGAAAAGTAAAAATGACTCTTCAAGCAATTATAAATATTTAATGAAAAGAACAGTTTAGCGAATAAGTATTCCATTCAGTGCAATCACAGTTGTACAAGCATTAACTCACAACAATCGAAATGAAAAGACAAAAAATATGAGCTGAGCCTCAAAAAATGTGAGAAAAGGCTAAAAAGTGAATATGATCTAGAAGAGCATTTGGCAGGATTCTTGAGTTTGAGAACTGAAATAGTGAACTACTCAAGTGTTGGAGCAACATCAGTTCAAATTTCAGGGATGTCTTTAGGTGATGTATTTTCGTGACAGAAAATTCTGCTACTAAGTCCTCAAATTTGAAGGAATGTGACATTTTTGTAACAAATGTGTGATTAGCAAGTGGATAGACAAGGTTGCATATTCTTATCTTGAAAGCAATATCATCCTACTTCAAGTAATAGCTTGTTACAAACCATGTCGGTCCATACCTTCCAAAAGAAAACCACAGGAAAACTTGGAGTTCTTTGATTACCTAGAGTTGCAACAACATGCTTTTTAAAGCTGCAGTCTCGCTTCTTCTTTTACACCTTGGTACTTAGTTAGGAAACTGACTCCTATTTCAGCATAGTTGAACTTCAGTTAGCAGTGCCCCTTGTTCATATGATCATTTGAAACATTTTAATTTAATACTTATTTTAATTCTATTTTGAGTTTATTTTGTCCTTCATCTGTCTTGATTTATTTTAATTGTTCTGGACTTATGTTACTCAGCAAACCAGCAAGTGCCATTGTTGGAGTAGCTCACCATGTCTCATTTATGCGTCCATATGGACTGTTTGACGTCGCTGCTGTTTCCGTTGCCAATTCCATGACCCTTTTTCCTTTTCTGGATTGTATATCTGATAAAATGGATTACATTGGAATCAATTACTATGGACAGGTATTGGAGTGTCTAGAAAAAGTTCAAATAGAAAAACTCTTGTTCTGCATTTCTGTTGCCTGTTGTTTTAATATTAAAGACCACACTTCTTTGACTTGAGCAGGAAGTCATTTGTGGTGCAGGATTGAAACTAGTCGAGACAGATGAGTACAGCGAATCTGGGCGTGGTGTGTATCCTGACGGCTTGTTCCGTGTGTTGCTGCAATTTGATGAAAGATACAAACATCTTAATCTTCCCTTTATAATAACTGAAAATGGTGTTTCTGATGGAACGGACTTGATTAGACAACCATACTTGTTGGAACATCTACTTGCAACTTATGCTGCCATGATGATGGTTTTTTCTCTTGGGACTTTATTCTTTTAATATATCCGAATTTTCACCAGTTCGATTTGATTGGTAATGTGTACTTGCATATATTTATAATGTATACAGGGTGTTCGTGTACTTGGTTACTTGTTTTGGACGATCTCTGATAACTGGGAGTGGGCAGATGGGTATGGTCCCAAGTTTGGACTTGTAGCAGTTGATCGTGCCAATGATCTCGCTCGGATTCCTCGCCCTTCATACAATTTGTTTTCAAAGGCATCCTTCTTTCTGATATCTCTTCTTATTGTTCTTGATAATTTTGCTGACATCTTGATTTCCAGGTTGCGGAATCCGGAAAAATAACGCGGGAAGACAGGGAACAGGTGTGGGGTGAGCTCCAAACTGCTGCTAAAGAAGGAAAAAGGAGACCATTCTATCGATCAGTGAATAAATATGGCTTAATGTATGCAGGTAATACAGGATTGTCAAGCCTAGTTTTGGCGTGAAACAGGTTTCGGATAATTGAAGATTGTAATCAAAACTTTGATCCATTTCTCCTTGGATAGATGGATAAAGGTTATACTTGGGCCAGATTTCGATCTAGAGTTGAAATACTACAATTTTGAATCTAAAAGAAGTTACGCCTTGATGGATTGTTCCAGATGCCAACTTGGTTCCACTGCTCTGTAGTGATCCATTTGTCTGTTGGTCTAGCCATAAATAACTCACATGATATTGTACTCTTGCGGGAGAGTATTCTACAAGACAAAATGGCTTTCCTCGTGATTTAATCTCGTCATTGACCTTTCTCTAGCCTTTCTGCTGTGGTTGGTGAATGAGGTTAGCTTAGGGAAATTGTCACTTTAATTGCCTTAATACCTTAGCATACTACCATAAGCATGGCACCTGCTTGAGGGAACATATTCTTTCTTTGACATCAATGATAAGTAGTGTAAAAACTCTGTTTACGCAGTGATTCCACCATCCCTCTTTTTGCGGTATTATGAACTGCATGTTGTTGCTGATTATCTGTTTTTTCCCAGGAGGACTTGATGAGCCCATATGGAGACCTTATATAAAGAGAGATTGGCGGTTTGGGCACTATGAGATGGAAGGTTTACAGGATCCCTTGAGCCGTTTAGCACGATATCTTCTCCATCCTCTCTCTTTTAAACAGAAGGCACAGACTCAGAGAGAGAGTGATCAATTGACTCTTGAGCCTCTCAGCGCAAACATCTAGTTACAACTGTATCAGATTGTTTAAAGAATTCTGCTTGAGAATCCTAAACTGGACGCCATTCTAAGGTATGACTGTCAGCAACTACTGTGCCTATGCAATGGTTAGGGGATAAAAGATCATGTATAATAAATATTGTGTAGAAAAATTTAGTATTATAGATAAATATTTGGAAAAATACCTTAAATACACAACTTTAAGTTCCTTATAGTCTATTTTTACCTACCTTTTTTTAAAATATTACTTAAATCCCTTCTTTCTCCTAAATATCAAAACTTCCAGATACATAAATCACTTCTACAACCATTTTAACCACTTCCTATTTCACTCCTTTTTTTCTCCTTAAATTCACTCCAAAAATTTATCAGTTACAAATCAATATCCAAAATTTATTTTCAAAAGTTTTCTTTCCGTTCAACCTGTTTCAAACTTCTTCTCCATTTTCTCTCCTTTCAAGCATTTGTCATATCAACTTTGATCTTATTCCTTTCCTTTTTTTTTCAATATGGATCCAGATCCTACATCAAATCCTCCTAGTACTAATCGATCAGTATACCGTTCTATCGATGAAAATTGGGCCGAAAATATATCGATAACATTGCATGACCTTAAGCATCAGGTAACAGGCGCCAGAACCATCTAACCAGATGTTTGTAAAAAAAGCCCAAAAAAAGGGAAGAAAAGCAGCACCTGTCATTGCCCGACCTTCATTGCCTAGGGTGTGTTTTTAATCCTTATCACACTTGTTTGTGATTTGTATATTGTATTTGCTCTGTTAGATTGAAATTCATTGATACATTAATTACATGTGTTATGCTAGATTATTTATTGGGGAAAAAATGATGCATATAAATTCTCAATCTTAGTTTTGTTATCTATCTATTTGTACTTTGTCGACACATATAATACCCTTGTTTTAATTTTGTATTCTGAAAATGATACATATGAAACCCCAATATGAAAAAAATGTTGGAGAAATTTAACAAAAATAATGGTTATGTACCGGGCAGGTCATCCTTTTGTATTTTGTGTTTTATTCGTGTAGCAAACATATATTATTTATATATCAAACATTTTTTTTATTATAAATCTCTTATTGTGAGTGGTAGTAATATAATTTTTATTGTAGTGTATCAAGTTATATAATAAGTTTAACTAACATTTAATGCATTAGTCATTTGAAGCTTGATAGTATATTCTGTTTATGTATCAAACAATTTTTATTATGAACCATTTACTGTTAGTGATAGTAAAGTGTAATTGTTACTGCTAGTCAATTGTTGTGTAGTGGGAACTAGTATTTTTATTTATGTATCAGAAGGTATTATTATATATAGTGTGATTTTTTTATTTTTCTTTTCATTTTGCAATCACCAAATATGTTACAAAAAATGTACCAAGACATGTCTTAAGGTTTGGTGCCTATTATAACACAAATTTCTTGGAGGACTTTAAGAAGTCTATAGGGATTGATGTTATTGAATTGTTCATAGCTACAATGTTTGGACCATATTTAGACATCCCTAAATGCAATTTTCTGGGTCAAATCACTAAATGTTTGTTGTCGTTAGAGTTGGAACAGAACAACTCAAAAGTGTTACAAATTATACATGCTAACATGAGAGTATCTTGAATCTAGGATATCAAAGAATTTGTCTTAATAATTGATCTCAAATGTAAAGGCAATATCAAAGACTTTACATACCTAGAATCTCCTCCATGTAGGTTATTTCGAAAATACTTTTGTGGTACATTTAATAGTATAAGCAAGAATCTTCTAGTCAAATGATTTCTGATAGGCAATTGAGAGAACAATCAGGATGCACTTCAAATGACTATTATGTACTTTGTCCATGCATTCATTTTGTGTTAAAAGGGTGATTATTCAATATCTATTAATGAATTCTTAATGTTTGGAGATGGTAGCTATGAAGTATATCTTTGGGGCTAAATTGCATTCTCAAAGTTGATGGTTTCACTGTGACAAAATTTCAGTCTTAAGAAATAGATTTATCGTTTATATGGAATTTCAAGATTTACTTGGGATGCACATCTGTAGGTACATACGTTAAGTGCATAAGACATTCCATTTAAAGATACATTTATTTGTTAAGATTGAAATTCTGCTGAAGTGAAGTCATCAATTTTAAGAATGCAAATCTGGCCCCAAGGATATACTCGATAGCTATCATCTCCAACCATTAAGAATTCATTAATAGATATTGAAGAATCACCAGTTTAAGACAAAATGAATATATGGATGGACAAAGTACATGATAACCATCTGAAGTGCATCCCGATTGTTCTCTCAATTGCCCTCAGAAATCGTTGGATCAGAAGATTCTTGCTTACACTATTAACTGTTCCAAGAAAGTATTTTTGGAATAACCTACAGGGAGTCGATTTTGGGTATGCAAAGTCTTTGGTATTGCCTTTACATTTGAGACCAGTTATTAAGGCAAATTCTTTGATATCCTAAATTCAAAATATCCCCCTTCACGTGTATAATATGCAACACCTTTGAGTTGTTCTGTTCCAACTCTAACAACAACAAATATTTAGTAATTTGACCCTAAAAATTTCATTTGAGGATGTCTAAATATGTTCCAAACATTGTAGCTATGGACATTTCAATAACATCAAGCCTTATAGACTTCTTAAACTCCTCCAATAAATTTGTGTTATAAGGGGCACCAAAACTTAAGACATGTCTTGGTACCTTTTTATAGTATATTATATTAACTGCAAAATGAAAAGAAAAATCATATTATTTATAATGGTATCTTCTGATACATAAATAAAAGCACCAGTTCACACTAAACAACAATTGACTAACACTAACCGTTCATGTTTGATAAATAAAATCTATGGTACCAAGCTTCATATGACTGATACATTGAATGTTAGTTGAACTTATAATATAACTTAATACAATAAAAATCATATGACTACCATTGACAGTAAGATTTATAAATGTTTGATGTATAAAAAGAATATGTTTGCTACAAGAATAAAATACAAAATGCAAAAAGGATGACCTGCCTAATACATTAATCACCTTTTTGTTAAATTTCTTCATCATTTTTGTCATATTGGATTTATATGTATCAATTTTGTAAATACTAAATTAAAACAAGGGTTTATATATGTCGACAAAGTACAAATCAATAGGTAGATTGGGGTTTTATATGTGTCATCTTTTATCCCAATAAACAATATAACATAACACATGTTATTAATGTATCAGTTAATTTAAATCCAACAGAGCAAATCCAATACAAACAAGTGTAATAAAGATTAAAAACACATACTCTAGGCAATGGTTGGTGTTGCTTTTCTTTCCCTTTTTGGAGGGATTTTTTCAACGTTTGGTTTAGACGATTCTGACATCTCTTTGTTCACTGATTCCTCATGTTCAATGGCTTATGAAAATTTTTTGATTTATTTCCGACCCAATTTTAATTGTCAGAATCGTATACTAATTGATTAGTACTAGAATGATTGGATGTACGATTTGGATCAATATGTATCAAGAAGAAAAATTGAAAAAAAAGGAAGATGAAAATTAATGACAAATGTTTGAACGGAGAAGAAGAAGTTTGAAACTGGTTAAATGGAGATAGATAATTTTTGAAAATCAATTTTGAATATTGATTTGTAACTGACAAGTTTTTGGAGTGAATTTAGGGAGAAAAAAAGGAGTGAAATAGGGAGTGGTGAATCTAAATTGTAGAAGTGATTTATGTATTTGAAAGTTTTGATATTTAGAAGAAGGAAGGAATTTAAGTAATATTTTAAAAAGGTGGGAAAAATAGACAATTTGGAACTTAAAGTTATTAGGTATTTTTCCTTAATTAAATACTAGTATTTCATTTTCTGTTAATGTACTTTTTCTCCAAATAGTTTGGGGAAAAGTATTTTTGTCAAGTTGCTGATGAAATTTTGTATTTTTAGTTGTAGGAAGCTAAGATGGGATTAAACAGTTGAATAAATTAATCTCTAGGTGAGATGTTTGACTTGGAAATTGAGAAATGCAATTTATATTGGTGCAATTTATATTTGCTTTGGAGGATAGCATTTGTATGATAGACTTTCTTCAAGTGTTAGTTTGAAGGATTAGCTCTAGCATTTTGTAGATACTGAAGTGCGATTGTACAAGTGAAGAACTAATGTTATACTTTGTTCTATCATTATGGTGTGAATGAAAAGGTAACAGTGTAATAGGGCTTAAATAGTATTAGTATTTACTATTCTCCAATGTTTCACTAGACATTTTCTTATAAAAATAACAACTCATGCACATTTAAGACGACATATATCAAGTTATAAATACTCTTTAAAAATAAATTACTTATAGCATATTATTATCGAGTTATATCATATCAATTAAAAATATAATTAATTAAAATAAATTATAAGTAATTATTTAATAATTAATATGTTTAAATATTTTTTTTTAGTTTTTCAGTTACCTTTTTAAATCAAACTCTTTAAATTTTTACAGATTAATATTACAATTACCTTTACTGTTTTTTAAATAAAGGAAAAAAACTCAAATATGCCATCGAATTTTCAGAAAAGATTCATTTATGTCATCCGTTAAAAGTTTGGCTCATCTCCCAGTCATCTATGTCGTTACCGTTTAGAAAAAGACTAATTTATACCATTAATTTTTTTAAATGTGGCTTTGCAAAACTACATTTTACATGTGGCATGTTACGATTCAGCCACATCATATATATATTTTTAGACTAAAAAATTAAAATTCTGAAAAAAAACATTAAATAAAAAACTCATCCAAATTTTTTTTAAAAAATCCCTTTGATCCATATTAGTGAACCATTTCTTTCCTTCAATTTTTCAATCTGAAAACTCTAACAAAGAAGAGAGGTTTCTTCACTTGAGGACAACAAACTTTTCTCCTTTTTCTACAAGAATGCTATCAAAGAAGGAGCCAGAGATACAACGCACAAAAAAATACAAAAAAATTGTCAAGGTCAGTAAAACGATTATTTTCGAATTTGATTAAAATATTATATGAAAGTGAATTTAATTTTTTTATTTTATTTGGCATACTATATGAAATTTGTATGAGTTATGTATGAATTGATATTTTTGTATTGTATATGAATTTATTCATTAATTTAGTTGACAATTGTTTTATGTATGAATATTATATGAGTTATGTATTAATTGTGTATGAATTGAATTTTCAATTTTGTATGCGAACACTTTGAATTTCATAATCATATCGTAAAATTTTGACTATTATTATGCGTATTATTACTGTATATTTTATGTTTGATTTTGATGTATTGGTACTGTATGAGTTTTATTTTGTAGGTTAAAAGTCACATATTAGTTTTTTTAAAAAATTATAATATGTATTGATATTGTATGAATTATGTATGAGTTGATGTATTAGTTTGTATGATTTGTGTATGAATTGAATTGGTTGTCCATTAATATGGCAGTGTATCAATGTTGTTTCTATGAAATTATGTATTATGTTAAAAGTCTTAATTTAGTTTTATCAATTTTATAGAAGAAGAAAGTACAAACACATTTGTCTTCATGTATCAACATGAATGTGCTCGCTGAATCTATTGACCTTCCTCGGTCAAGATAGGTTCCAACAATTTTTACAAGAAACACCATTTGATTTTTTTTATGATTTACATAACATAAAAATTCAATGTCAATTGTTGTGCCATATTTTTCTTCTTGAAACTGCAAAATGACAGAGATGACATGTCCATTATCAACGTAAATAGTACATAGTTACACTTTGGATTAAAAAAAATTGTCGTTGTAACCGGTCTGAAATCTGGACAAATTTCTGATTTTGTTTCTAATCTGGCTATTGCAAATAGACTTATCCAAGAATATTTCGGGGATATGTACAAAGTTCCAAAGTCAAATTTTTATCACAAATTTAGATTAGAAAACTTTTGGGAGAGGACAAATTTGTAAAAATCAGAATTTTTTGTACTTCATTTCGTCATTTCTGACTGCTTTAGACCCTTCAAAAACATCAATTCCCTAATTATATTTTGATTTAGTTGAGTCGGACCAGTATGTCATATTTCCATGGGGGAATGAGTTTTAAATTAACACTTAAAAGCGTGCAGTCGTAAGTTGCAAAAAAAATCTTTGTCATTCAAGTTCAGCCAGTTCCATATAGCCTTGCAAGTATGATTTTATGAGTGTTGTCATCCATTTGATAACACAATTATTATTCATGCTTCAGATTGCACACCGCATATCCTGAACTGGAAGACAACAAATGACGTTATTTTTTTTGATGATTTGAAGAAATAGATATTCAGAACATATGGGCAATCAGGTAATCTTTTATTGAATATTAGTAAAGTAATTATTAATTGTTGCACATTCTCATATTTTTCTTTTCTGCAGCATAAATTCAGAAATATGATTTTTACTGAAGAAGAGTTAAATGTCATGGATGAGACTATTTTAAATCAATCTCCCAGTCACCATGATTCTGAAGAGCAAGGAACATCAGAAAAACATGGCGTTGACTTTGAACAAAAATATGTAGAGTTGAAAGCTGAAATTGCAGAGGTATAAATAAAAATTTACAATTAAAATAGTTTTTAGATATTACATTTTACATATCAAAACTTATTATTGTTTAATGAAGAGGTTAAGGCGGAGTTGAATATCACGACCCAAAACGAGTTGTGAGTGGCACCCACACTTAACCTCCTAGGTGAGCAAACCAACAAATCTAAACCCAACATATATCAATAGTTCAACTATAAATAATATAAATAATGCGGAAGCTCCAAAAGATACTAAGCAACCAATTTAAATTAGTTTCTAAAGTTTAATATTTATCATCCCAAATCTGATAGTCATCATGTCAAGAACACCTATTTTGAAATTACCAAGTCTAAGAGTGTTTAAGAAACCAAAATAAGCAAAAAGATGGTTCATGTCCGAAATCCAAAGACATCAAGACGTGAATGAGAGAATCCAGCACAGCTAGAATTAATAGCTCACCCTGAACTCTGATGTGCTGAAGACTGGCTAGAGTTGAGGGCGAGTCGAAGTCAATGATACACTTGTTGCACTCCACAAAAGAACAGAGAAGAAAATACAAGTAGGTGTCAGTGCAATGAACACGTACTGAGTAGGTATCATCGACTAACTCAAAATAGAAACCAATATATATTGAATAATAATATAAAATCAACTACAATACTTAACAGGTGACAAGCAACAAACACATGAACCATTGACAAAAAAACACCATAATAGGTACACCATCAATCACAACATTAAGCACCCCTATGAGGACTCATGCCTCCACACCATACTCATTTGGAAAATTGGTTCTTTGAGATTAACTATATTAAGTTACTTCAAGATTACTTTCCTTTAATGTTATTGTATCGAAACGTGACACTCCGATCCCATATATCGTGTCGGAACGTGACACTCCGATCCCATAATACCGTGTCGAAACGTGACACTCCGATCCAATAATCTCATTATTTAATTTCATCAAGCCTTCTCTATTAAAGGCGTCATTTTAATAGAGAGGGTTCAAGATTAGAAATTCAACACTCTCATAATTTTAGGCCAACCACAAACCACACAATCAAAACATACAATCACACAATCAAGTACATAGGAGACTTAACAATATCACTCAATACATATCAATCGCTATTTAGAGTTTATTTATCAAATAGAAATAAACCATAACCTACCTCCACCGAAGAATCGAAGTCAGACAACTATTTCTCCAATGCTTTTCCTTTCCTTATTGCCTCCGAACTCTTCCAATCTATCAAGTATATATATGTATAAGGTGTAAGTTGACAATCCCATAAATACTCATATTATTGTGTGTCTAACCTATACCCTTCAATTCACCTAATTCTATAATCATTTTAATAAAGTTCAAACCTAAGGTAAGTCTAAATTCCTCCTATTATCACAATTTTAATTGTATTCAAATGATACAATAAACCTAATATTTAATTACTCATCTCAATATATCTATACCTAATTTATAAGATAGAGAACTAAGTAAAATAATTAAAGCTGAACACTACTGGAATTGAAACAATTATACTTTAATTGTCCAAATCGTGAGCATATACTACTTATGTATAGTACACTTTAACATTTGATGTCAAACTACCATTCTAAAATTTTAATCAATTGAATACACAATTCAACTCCACTAACTTATTAATATTAAACTATTTATATGGAGTAATAATGCAAAAAGGCAATTTGAAACTTATCTACTGTCATCGTTATTCCATCACCCCTCTATCACTATAACACAATTATTGCTTTCTTATTTATATGGCACCATCAATTGTCAAAATAATATTCACGAGAAAAGGGTACAAACCTTAGAGACATGAACGCCTCTAGCTGGTTTCCGCCACAAATCCTCTTCTCCTCCACTCCCTTTTTTTTCCTGATTACTTATTACCCTAATATATTTTTTTTATATAAAAAAATGGTAAAAATGACCCACTATTTATCTATCGGAAAGTATTTTCTAACATAAAAAGTTTGAATGTTCAAAACGGTCGAAAATGGTCGTTACATTGAAATATCTCAAAGTTAATGTTAGTTTCAATCTCCTTTTAATGAATTAATATAATTACTCTATATTTTATTTTATTATTTTAATACATTGATAAGATTGACAAACACATGGTTGAAATCAAGACTTACGTCGATAACTCGACTAAGCTGATAATTGAAGAGATTAGATTGTCAAGAGGTTAACCAACACCAGATGCACAACAACATTTATGAATCAATGTATCTTATGTGTATGAATGTTGTTTGATCATAGTATGTATTGATATTTTTATGTAATTTGTGTTTACATTTATAATTAGTGTATGACTTTTAAATGAATAATAGAAAATTTTCATATATATATTTGAATATGTATAGATGTTGTATTAATATGGCTGAAAGTGTCTTTTTAATGTATATGAATAATGTATAGATGTTGTATTAATCATGTATGAAAGTATCTTTTTAATGTATATGTATAATGTATAGATGTTGTATTAATCATGTATGAAAGTGTCTTTATATGTCTATATATATATATAGATATATACATACATACATACATACATATATATATATATATGTATGTATGTATGTGTGTGTGTGTGTGTATATATATATATACACACACATACATACATACATACATACATACACACACACATATATA